GAGGCCTCCTGGGCGTGTTCTGGGGGGTTCTGGGGGTTTGTCGGGCCACCCTGCCTCCAACCGCGGTCTCCCTGAACGACTGGATCACGATTTGGAATGCTTCGGAGGGTGTCTTAGGGCCACTTTGGGCCGCCGTGGGGCTCCCTGAGGGCCATCTTGGACCCCTGCTGTGTCGTTTTGGGACTCTCTTGGTCTGCCTGGAAGCCCTTTCGGATGGTTGTGGGGCGATTTTGGAGCCTCCCAGGCGGCTTCGGACGCCCAGAAGACCGCTGTCTTGGAGCGTCGGGAAGCCGAAAAGAGGAAAACCCCCAAATAAACCATAAACCAACAAAATCAAAGATTTTCGCCTCTTGGGGCCTTCTTGGGAGTGCTCTTGGAGGCCTCTTGGGACGTTTCGGGACGATCTTTGGGGGTATGACGGCTTCTTGGGGGTCGTCGTCGATCGTATTGGGGCTCTCTGGGGTCGTTTCGGGAGCGCGCCACGTCCTGCGAGGCCCTGGGGGCCGCTTCGAGGCCCGTCCGGAGGGTCCCTGAGCCCCAGATCCGGGGAGTCCGGTTTTGGGGAGGGGGGGGTGACGGGTTTTCCCCCCGCCCGGGCTTGTAAAAATATAGAAAGAGGAAGATTTGTTTTTTTTGGGGGGGTACTTTTAATGCTTCGTCCCAAATCCGCCTGCAGGGGGACACGCCCGACGTAACTGTTGCGCTGCGGCCCGTCGGGCGCCGCAGCGTGTACCGCGCAGGGGCACCCGACGGCAGGCGTGGCGTGCGCCGGGGCCCGTGGTGGCGCGGGTGGGGTGGTGTCGTTGGTGTTCCGGTCGCAACGGCGAGGTCACCGACAGAAGGGGGCGAGGGAGTATCAGGAGGGGAAGAAACACACACAGACACAATTAATCGCCGATTCCCAAGGGAATATGGGAAAATATGGGACTTGGGCGGGAAGACAAAAACCCAGAAAAAATGTGGGGAAATATGGGGAATCTTTTTTATTAGCGTGTATTTACTGGTGTGCTCTGGGGCCCCCTCAGAGTAGCGGGCGCGGGGCAAAGGGGCAGGGGGATCTCGTGGGCCCCGCCGCCGAGAGTGCCTCCCGGCCTGCGGCAGGCCCCCGGCGCATTGATCGCCGAGACGTGTCGGCGTCGAGGGCCCCTGCCTTTTTTTCTGGCCTCGCCGCGGGCCGGCTGTGGACCCCCTGCAGCCAGCTTACAGTCGGGGCCCTGAAGAAGGAACCCTTTTCGTTGGGGAGGGGTCCGCGTTCCTGGAGTGTTTCACAGCTTGCCTCAGGTGTTCCTCATGCTTTCGGTCGGAAATCGAAGGTTAACTTATGGAAAAAGGGGCCTCGTTCCTTATTTTGGGTTCCTTCGGTCAAGGCCCCGACTGTGTTCGCTACAAGGGTCAGGCGATGCAGCAGAGCCTCTTTACATGCAGACGTAAGCTCGTCGAGCGCGGAAGCGTCAGGAGGGGAAAAAACACACAGACACAATTAATCCTCGACTCCCCAAAGAATGTGGGAAAATATGAGAAGTGGGGGGGAAGACAAAAACCCAGAAAATATGGGACAAGATGGGGGAACGTTTTATTTGTGTGTAGTTATTTGTGTGTCCCAGGGCCCCTTCAAAGCGGACGGCCGCGAGCATTAAAGTGCCGCCGTTTTTGAAAGCAGAGCCGCCCAGCAGCTTCAGCTCACCGAGTCATCTAAGCAAGCACAGCACAGACACCACCCAAGGCTGCGCATTGCAATAACACTGGGTATCCTCACCTCTTCACCGTTCTCGGTTATCATCAACGTCCCTGCCCATCCCGCTTCTCATCCCCCATCATCGCCATCGTTTTTCTAAAATGAGAGGTCTGTAGGAGACCTCCCTTGGAGTCGGGAGGGGTCTTTTGCAGAATTCTCTTTCCCGAGAAAGACGACGCTTAACGCTTTTTGTTCTGGCTGGCGGATTACCACTCACCACCAGCCACACAATTTTACGAGCGTGGCAGAACCTCCGTCTACGAAGGTGGGGGAAAACATCGTGGGTGAACAAAGGCAGTCGTCTATGACCTCGCACCCGCCACGCGCGACCCCGTGTGGCGCATAGTCTCGTCGGCAACATTGGCGAATGTCCTTGCGAATGTCGTACTGGAGTAGGGCGTGGAGGCGGTGTCAAGCTTGCCTCGGATCCGCCTGCCAAGCTTGCACGCACGACGCACTTCCGATGATTTTCTTATTCATCGTTTTTTGCAGATCGGCGCGGGCCCTCGCGCCCCCCCCCCTCCCCCCCTCCCCCCCCCTCACGGAGTATATCTTGGCTGTTTTTGGCGCCTGTTTCTCGCAGGTGGAGTCTCCCCCATCGGACGCGCCGTTGCAAACAGCCGCGCTAAGCAGAGGTGCGGGGCCAGACCCTCCCCCCCCGCCGTGCCGTTTCGCTCAATGTCGAAACGCCGAGCAAGAGAACATTCACCTTGCAGACTGCGGGAGCGCGTTGGACTTCGTGCCTGCCAGGACCGAAGGCCGAGCACTCCCCGCCTCGGGTGGACAGTGGCAGCCGCCCACGACGGCCCACGACCCCCCCCTGCTCGCTGGCTGCCTACAGTCAACGCGCCTAGTAAGGACGCGCGCCTTCCTCTAGGGCACCCTTGAGTCCTTGCCTCTGTGGCCCGTCCTTTGCCGTTTTCACTGGCCGCCCCCCGCCCCAAAAATCCAACTTCGGCCTCCAAGGGTCTTGCGTCCTTACCTCGCGTCCTTACTATACGTTTTTTGACTGTACCTGCACCCACCACTCACTACCCGATAGACCGCCCCGATTCAACCCGCAGGCTCCAGGTGGCCCTCCACTTCCAGGGGCAGTGGGGCGGGCGGCGTCGAGGAGCACCGGCAAACCACGGGCGGAGCCCGTACCCCCCAACCCCGAAACTTGGGTCTTCGGGTTAGGTTTGGGGTGGTCTGGTAGGTACAGTGCCGTTTTTAATACATGCTCCGCGTGCGGATCACGTATTAAACATGCAGGGATTCAGTGTCAAAAACAGCGACGAGCTCATGCATAGATGTATTCAGACATTAATCATGTATTAAACATCCAATATTTTCAGAAATCCTTAAAACTGCCCTGTAGGTAGTCAACCACGCAGCCTCAGTCCCGGGAGGGTCGTTGGGGCAGTTGCAGGCCAGGCCTCGGGTGTCCCGCAGCCCTCTTTTCGGAGCGATGCTGAGCCGTCTTGGAGCCTTCAAAATCGGCGGCGAGCGAGGGGGGGTGAGGTGAGAGGGAGAAGGCCTCTTCAGAAGGCGCCGGGCCTTCTCGAAAGCCCTCGCACCTTCCGAGAAGTTCTCAACGTCTTCGGTGAAGGCATCATATTTTTCAGAAGGAGGAGGAGGAGGGGGAGGAGGAGGAGGAGGAGGAGTAGGAGGAGGGAGGAGGAGGAGGAGGAGGAGGAGAAGGGGAGGAGGAGGAGGAGGCGGAGGGAGGTGAGGAGGAGGAGGAGGAGGAGAGGAGGAGGAGGCGGTGGAAGGAGGAGGAGGAGGAGGAGGAGGAGGGAGGAGGAGGAGCAGGAGGAGGAGGAGGAAGGAGGCGGAGGAGGCGGAGGAGGAGGAGGAGGAGGAGGCGGAAGAGGAGGAGGAGGAGGAGGAGGAGGAGGAGGAGGAGGAGGAGGAGGAGGAGGAGGAGGAGGAGGAGGAGGAGGAGGAGGGGAGGAGGGAGGAGGGGGAGGGGGAGGGGGAGGGGACGAGGAGGAGGAGGAGGAGGAGGAGGAGGAGGAGGAGGAGGAGGAGGAGGAGGAGGAGGAGGAGGAGGAGGAGGAGGAGGAGGAGGAGGAGGAGGAGGAGAGGAGGAGGAGGAGGAGGAGGAGGAGGAGGAGGAGGAGGAGGAGGAGGAGGAGGAGGAGGGGGAGGAGGAGGAGGAGGAGGAGGAGGAGGAGGAGGAGGAGGAGGAGGAGAGGGAGGAGGAGGAGAAGGAGGAGGAGGTCGAGGGCGGTCCAGGGAAGATGCTCTGGGTCTCTTAATCAGCGTGGGGGGGTACCCCCCCGACAGGAGGTCAACCTCGCCTCGTCGTCGCGCCGCGACGGGGTTGGAGCGCCTTCGGCGCGCGGTGGCTGTCTGCGACGGGGGTCGATGTGGTGCTGTCGGCGGGGGTGACGCCCCCCCGACGCTTATCAAGAAACACGGAGTACCCTCGGCCCTCGTGTTCTTCGTGTTTGTTGGATGTTCTTGTGCATCCTAGGGGGTACCCTCGAGTGATGGTTTGGGGTGTTTTGGCCGGCGCAGGGTCTCTAGGGCTTGAGGGATGTGATTCTGTCCTGATCCGACCGTACATAAGCAAACATGACTATGGAGGTGTGCGCAGCTTTCTTGCGTCGGCGCTCGGACCCCCCTGGTGGCGCCTCAAGGCGCCGCGCCGCACCTCGCGCGCTCCGCGCGCCATGGAGGGGTCCAGCACCGATCCAACTAAACATCGTGCACCCCCGAAAGTTTGTGTTCATGAAGTTTTCCGTTCCTCTGAGACCGTCGGCCGTTCGTCCTCCACGGATGGCCGACACGCGGACGCGACGCTCGCCCCCGCCGCGACAGCAGGAGACGGAGCTGGCTGGGCTGCTGGGCCGACTTCCCACGCGAGGATAGTCGCACCTGGCGGGCCGCGGCCTGGGCCAGGGCGGGTGCCCGTCTTCGAGGGGGCGGCACGAGGGCGCGAGGGCGCGAGGGCGCGAACACGCCAACCTAACCGCGCGTCGCGCGCTGCGCCCCGCGGTGCGCGAAGTGGAGCGACCGAGTGTGCGGTATTCCAGGACCGTTGGCCGTCCGTCCACCTTCGTCCCTTCTGTCGGCGGCGAGCGAGGGGGAGAAGCGAGAGGGAGAAGGCCTTCCCAGAGGGCGGCGGGGCTTCTCGGAAGCCCTCGCGCCCGCTGAGCAGTTTTTTGGTGTCCTCGGGGAAGGGAAGGCCGGGGGACTTCCGAGCCTTCTGAGAAGGCCCGCCCCTGCTCATTTCCCCCCCAGGCGCGCCGCCGATTCTGGCACAGCGCCGCGCCAGGTGAGGACGGCGAGACGTCCGCCGCCCACGCGAGGGCCTCCCGCGCGGTGGCGGTTCTGGCGGCGTACGTCGACGGCTTTGCGAGCCTTGCGG